CACAGTCTTGCATTTTTATTAGTCATGTTTTTTCCATTTGTGGGGGATTAAAGAATCTGTCCAATGTCAATTGCTTTTCTCTCTTCTTCAGGCTTTTTCAGAAGTAATTAATAGCATTGTAATTGTAGAAATTCCTGAGCCTATTAACCTCAATCTGGTTTTGATGCCATTTTAAGACCATTGTTCTGACATCCTCCCACTTCTTCAAAAGATCTTTTAATAGCAGATATCAGCATTAATCCTCTTTTTCAGAAGAAAACATATCTTGCCGAGTTTCTTGATGTTCATTCAAGAGTTCTTGGCATTCTTCTGTCGTCAGGTTCCATTATGAGCTCTTCAATATTCTTTATTTCTCAGATGTGATTTTTGTTACTCCTTAAGCTGCTTGAATCTTCTTGATAATACAGTATCTTTCTTAGATAAGATTGAACTGTGACCTACTGTCGACCTGTTCAAGCCATACTGCCCAGCAACATCAGACATCATCTGCCCATTCTCTATCTTTGCTATTATACTCTCACCTTTTGAAAATAAAAATGATGCAAAAGTTAACGAGTGTCCACCCAACAGTCTCGCGAATACTATAAAAGAATTGTTTCTGTCAGAAAAATAAAAAGGCTGGAATTACAAGGGAGAGAGTTTCAAAGTTTGGAGGAATACTATTCGATCAATATATAACTGGTTGAGTGTCAGTATTGATGTCTCTCAAGCTCTGAAAAGTTTCAAATTGTTGCCTGAAGACAAGGGAAGACCAATTGGTATTCATTATTTTACGTCGCTTCTTCTTGTGTTTGTTCTGTGAGGTGTTCATTGACCGAACATAAAAATCTTTTGCGAAAGTGTTTGTTATCCAATTTGTTCATTAATCAAACTGTTTGTTAACCGATCACCCACTGTATATTGTAGGATTCCTTTTAAATGTTATCTTTCTCTCTAACTTTATTTAACTTTTTGTCATAGAGGGAAGCCCTATACTCCATGACTGTGTATTTATTCTTCTCATTATTCATTTCTTTTGTTGTGTTTTTCTTCTCTTGTGTACTTCTTTATTATATCTTCTATATTCTTGTGTTTATATCCAAATCAATGGTCCATGGTTTTGACACATTCCAGCTCCTTATCTCTGTCTTGTATGTTGGCACAATGTGTACTGGCTCTTTATATCCAGGCTCTGAAGGCTGCTAACTTGTAGTTCATTGGGTCATGGGATTAAAAATGGATTATATGTTTGTTTCTTGTAGATGCTCATATTCATCACCCCTCCTTTAAGTCTAAGCTCTGTCTGGAAAATGTGCAGCCCTATCACTTTATTGTTTCAACTCTATTTTTAGACCATATGGATTTATGTTGATGATGATGATGATGATGATGAAGTTCACTGTGGTAGGCCTCCTCCTTCATATTATTAATACATCATCTATATACCTGGAGTACAGAATGAGGATTACACCCTATTTTGGTAAGAGATTACCTTCTAATGTTCTTACAATCATTTCATAGTGTTCCAGAAAGCAGACTCCCCATTGGAGCCCCCTATTCTGTACATCAGTTCACTGAAAGAAAAAAATGAATACAGTGGTACCTCACGATACGAAATTAATCCGTTCCGAAACTGAGATCGTATCATGAAAATGTCGTAAGGTGGATCATCTTTTCCCATACGATTACATGTAAAACCAAATAATTCGTTCCAACGCGAAAAACATACTCAAATTAAAGCCAAGTAATACATTAAAAAAATAACTGTAAAAATATTTGTAGTAAGAAAAACAAATAAAAATGCGAACTAATGTAACGTCGTATGGTGAGTTTTTGTTCGTATCGTGGAGCAAAAATATGTTCGAATTTCATGTCGTATCCTGAAAATTTCGTATGCTGGGGCGTTCGTAACCTGAGGTACCACTGTATGTAACAATGTGTCTTAACTTCAGTATTTGTGGAAGCAATTTCATTGAGTTTCTGATCTTTTCCATAATTGACAAGCTGCAAATGAAAGTTAAAAATAGCTCTTGCTAGCATTGTGTTAGTTAAGGCTGACAAAGTTTGTGATCTCATCTCAGGCTACACCTAAACTATAAGATTGCAAAAATACACAAATCAGGAAAATCCATAAGACCAGTGGTTGATACTTCTCTTACAATTGGTCTGGAACATACACTCAACATCTTCATAAGAACACAAGATTTAAACATCAGCTGTTCTTTTCTATATACAAACTTCTGACTATTGTACCTGGTATAATAGTCACATTACTGGAAGCAAATGTTTTGTTAGGAAGCATTTCCATTGTGAAAGTATTCTTGTCAGCATTTATAGACCTGGTCTGGAATGATTTCTCATTCATGAATTCTGATTACAGATTTTTCAAAAAATCAGGAACCATAGATATATCTGCTTATAGTTCGTCTTCCATTGGTAAGAAACATGAAAATCGTTTTTTTTTTTTAAATTATCAAGCTAGCCATCACTTGCTCAAATAGTCCTCCTTTGTGATTTCTTTATAAAAAAACAAGCAATTATTTATTGTGACATTGTCACAATGCTGGGCTGCAATTTTTAATCATATTTTTATAATTATTTAATTTAAAATATATGCTCTCCATCACAAATTAGTAGTGGCTTGCCCCTATACATCTTTTGCTTTAACAATAGTCATGCCAGTCAATTTTTTAGAAAATTTTTGAATTGAAATAATGACTTTCAGTTTGCATTGGAAGTTCATATATAGTTAATTGGAGCCTCCTGCCCCTAAGGTTTCCATATCCAATCTCATCTTTCATCCATCTAACTGTTCTCGAGATTAAGGAAAGGCAGACAGATGACAGTGGGAATTAATAGGTCTACAGTTTTTTCAAATTGCAGTTCCTTTCTCTTATAAGATCACTGGAAATTTTACCAAGTCAAGTTTGTTGACTTCAATTTAACATAGACACGAGAAGTTAATGTATAGTCCAAAATATCAAATTTGCCAATTACAGTTGTTGGGCTGCAGTTTTCAAATTACAGACCTATACATTCCCACTATTGTTTGTTCTTTGTTAATCTCTAACAAAGTTAGATTAATGAATATCAAGACCAGATATGGAAAGCTTAATGGCCAGATGCCCTGATTAACTATATACAAACTTCTAATCTGGACCAGAAATCACATGATTTTCATTCAAAAATTTTTCACTTACTGTATAGAGCAATAAATTTGGTATAGAATTGATCCTTACTATAAACTGAGATCAATAATGTATTACTTGACCCGCTAATGTATACAATATTGACATGATCTCATATTTTAAAAATTTAAGTAGTTTATATTTTGATTTTATTCTAAAAGTAGATTTTTTAAATTAAAATATGATTGTCACAAGACAGACTGCAGTATTTAATCTTGCAATAACTTTTGTTTTTTAATATTCCTCTCCTTTTTAATAGATAATTTGGCTCTATTTCCAAAATGTCAAATGCTTAGATAAGACTCAATATATTAAATAATTTTTATTAAAAACATAATAAATTTTGATATTTAAATAACTAGGAGTCTGTATTAACACTGTGTTTACTTTATCTGGTTTTAAATAAAATTAGGATTTATGATTTACAGTGCCATCTCACTTGTTGAATGACAACCATCATTTAATAAAAGTGAATAAATCCAATTTGATTATTTTTTTTTTAGCAACTAAATTTTTACTTTTATTTTTAGTATAATTAAAGATGAAATTAACTTCATTTTCAATTAAAAACTCTCTAACCTGGCAATTCTCCCATCAGATAGACAAAAATCCAGAAAAACAAATTCTTTTGGTCTACTTCTGCAACCTGCTTCAGGTTATAATTTTCAGAAATGAAATGCCATAGGCTTAAATGTTCGAAAATGGAATGTACAGATGAACTCTGGACAGAGTTCTATCTAATGGGAGAATCTCAAAGTTGGTTTTCTTCTAATTTTAAATTCTTGCCCAGTTTTGTTGAAGACTGAATTTTATTGAACTTCATTTTCACCTTTAATTTTTAATAAGTTAAACTGACGTAAAATGAATGTTAAGGCTGATTTCAGAATCAAGTTTTCTTGCATATTTCGTTTACATTCTTTGTAAATGTATGCAAATCAGGAAATGCATTCTGATAGTGTAGAACTTCCATGTGCTGTGTTAAAGTAGCATAACTACGAAGTGGTAGGAACTAAATTCATCAAACAAACTGTCGTCTTTGACACTTCTCTTTTTCCCTGATAAGTAAGTGTTCATTGTAATTTTACTTTTTTAAACTAAGAATACAGTAAAAACAAATTTTGGGTCTGAGTTCGAAAGTTAGCTTAAATGCATTAAATACTTTTCCTAAATATTCTGTGATAAAATGCATCTTATATGTTGTAAAATACAGAAGATTTAATGCAAGATATTATGAAAATCCAGTTTTTCTATGAAATTCAAAATAAATTCTCTGTTGAAATTTTATATGGTGATTTACAGCATTACTTGCATTAACTTTTGACTTATGTCCTAAGGGTAATCAGTTTTTATTGGAGACTGAATGGTCATTGTACGTACAATAAAGGTGTTAATCTCCTACTGCTCTAAAAACCCAGGTTTGTGTCTAGCTTGGAATCTCAGAACTTTCATGAATAGTTTGATTTCAGACTGCCAATCCATAATAGCTGTGAAACAGACCTTCTTAATATTTCTAGAGTTGAAAGATTAAAATAATGAGTTTTCTTATTTTGCAATTTGATTTCTTTTTACAATATACTAATTACTATTAAGTAGAAAGGATTTGCTAGTCTTAGTTTTTGAAACTCGGCATCATGTTATGACTGATAGCATACTAAATTAAACGGAGTGATTAATATATGTTTAGAATAACTGAAAAAAAAAGCATAAGGTGTGTGTGTCATAATATTTAAGAAGTACAGTCTGAATATATATTGAAGAATAAGCTTTATTCAAATTAATAATTTTATGTAAATTTATTTTAAACCTGTTTATAGAATATCTTTTAATTTATTAATTTTTTCTATTTAAAATTATTCTTTATAGATGCTGATTTTGATTCCTATTGGGAAGATCAATCAAGAAATAGAAATCGAAATAGAATTCGTGTTGGTCGTCAGTATCAAGCAACTGTACCACCCCTTTTAAAACCAGGTGATTTTTTTTTTTTTTTTTTTTTTTTGTTAATCT